AGAACCTGGGCCCCTCCCAGAGCCATCGGACCCCGGGCTCTGCGCCCGCCCTCTCGCCCGCCCGCCGCAGGACCAGGCCGCTGACCGGTCCTGGAGCTGGAGGTCGGGTCGCTCTCGAGGCTCTTCATAGAAGCTGATGCCCGGGTGCGTGGCAAGGGCCCGCCACAGGAACTCCTGCGTGTAGGGCTCCAAAGGCAGGGGGAAGGGCGGCACTCGCGTCTCCAGACGGCTCCACAGCGCAGGCAGACACAGGCCATCAAGCCCCTCGAGGGCCACCTCGTCCAACAACGACTCGAGCGCGTCCATTGCTACTTCGGTGGGCAGCTCCCCCGGCGCCTGCGCACCAGGACACTAAAGGCCCTCCAGCGCGCCTGCGCACAACCTTCGGCGGCCCTGAGAGGCGGGATGGACTTTGAGATCCGAGGAGGAGTTCCAGAGCGCCGATGCGACGTCACTCCCTTTGGGGGCGGGCTCAGTCCCTGGATCTCCACCGCCATTGGTCCGGAACCCCGCAGTAACCAGGGGAACTGCAAACAGTGTAGGGGTCGCTTCCGGTTCGAGCACCCGGAACCGCCGCCTCTAGGGATGGACGGTGAGTGTCCGTGGGCCCCTGCGGGCGGTCGGGCAGTTATTCTTTCACCTTTCCTGAGGCTTCCCCGGACAGAATCCTAGGCCGGAGAGCCCTGGACCACCACTTCCTGACCCATGGTGGCCCCCGGTCTGAGGGAAAGGGAGACTTAGTGATCCGGGATGGCCAGAAGAGGCTGGGGGGAGTGGTCAGTGGTGTGGCCAAGGTGCAGAGCTGTGGTCGTGTAGGAACCCGGTACAGGCTGGAGGCTCAGAAGAGGTTTAGAGTGGAAAGGAGAAGTAGAAGTCTGAGGGCGAGGGGGTCCTGTGTGTCTTCCTCGGATGTGGAACTGTGCAATCTGGGAGATGGTACGGGAGTAAGCGTCACCCTGGGGAGTGCGGTCGTCAGCAAGTGGGAGAAGGGAGTTGGTAAGGTGGGTGGGGGAATTCTAGGGCATACTCTCTTTATGAGCTCTGGTGAGAATAATTAGTACCGTCCAGTGCCAGGAACTCTGTAAGCTATCTCAAGCAACACCTCGTTAAGCTTCAGAACAGCCCTTTGAGGTCAGTAGTGTTCTCCTGTTTTGCAAATGAAGCAACTGAGGCTCAAAGAAGTTAACTTGCCCCTAACCAAACAGCCCACAAGTGGCAGGGTAGGTAAGAAAGCCAGACACTCTGCCTCTGGAACCAAATTATGGAGTTTGAGATTTGAAGCGGGTTTCGGAGGCCCTTCATTCCAGAAGTTGCAAATGCAGATATATGTAGGGACAAGTCTGGCGGGCTGGATTGGGCTGCGACTGAAAATCAATTCGCCTTTTGAAAGGAAAGCGTCTCACTCGGCTCCAACCTATTATTTTCCTGGGGCACTTCTCTAAATACCGGGACAGCCAATCAGTCTGAAGGCCAGATGGAGCCTGTGGGCCACTGTTTAGAGGTCCCTGATTAGAATCATAGAATCGACCATGGGAAGCAATCTAAAAATAGGCTACTCGGATCTCATTTTGAAGATAGGAGGACTAACGTTTAGACAGACTGTTAGGGTCTATGCTAGAATTCAGATCAGTTTTCTCATTTCACCACTAAGAGGGATTTGTTCCTTTGTGATATCCACTTAATGCAGTGTGGGATTTTTTTTTTTTTAATTGAATAATCTGATGTGTGCTTAAAAGACGCTTTGCCCTTTGTACTTCAGAGGTACTGTAAAATGTCATTTGCAGGTTTGCCTTGTGGGAAGATCAATGTAATGTTTCTACAGAACAACAGTTCTCAAATTTTTTTGGTCTCAGGACTCCTTTATGCTCTTACCTCAGAAGAGCGTTGTTTATGTAGATCTGTGAAATTTACCATATCAGAAATGAAAGCTGAGAAAACCTTAAAACATTCATTTATCAACTTATTTAAAAATAACAATGAACCCATTACTTCTGAATATAAATAATAATTTTAATGAAACATAGCTTTGCGCCCCCGCCCCCAAAAGTAGTAGGAAGAGTAGTAGTGGCATTATTTTACATTTTCTTAAATCTCTTCAATGTCTGGCTTGATAGAAAATAGCTAGACTCTCATTTCGGCTTTGGCAACCAAACATGTGTTTTCTGGCTGATGTATATGAGCAAAGTCTGGCCTCACACAGATATATAGTTGGAGCAGGGACTATTTTAATTGCCTTTTCAAATACCATTCTTTTTTGATCCTACACCAAGACTTAGCAAGTGGTAATTCTTGAAGGTTATGTGCAGTGTGGCATCTGAAACCATATTGGTGAACTTTTATACTCTATTGTATTAAAATCCATTGGTTTATCATGCCCTTTGGTTGGATATTTTACCCACGTATGATTTTGTTACATTAAATGTTTGTCATTTAGGAAATGTTGATTTACCGAGTTATACAAATCTTCCAAATGTTGACATTTTAAAAATTCCACTATTAATATCAAATAGAATGTCATCATGATATCAAAAAAAATCACATTTGTTAATATAACTACCATATAAGCTGTTAAACTCAAGGTAGTAAGAAACAAGTTTTCATTTGGGCAACAAACACTGTCAGTTGGGTATTTGGGACAGACTCATTTTTTTTTTATATATATATATATTTGAGAAAAGTTTGAATAATGATAGTTTGTTGTTCATTTAAGTGCAAATGGCATTCAGTATCATATGTGGCTAGTTCAGCTGGTAACTCAAACAAGCACAGGGGTGTTTTCTGGGATCAACTGTTGTACTTTGGCACATAGCAGAAGTGCTTGATGTGTACTTCCCATTTTGTCACACACAGTATTAAAAAGTTGTGTACTCAAGGAATGAAATGTAATAATATTAATTTCTACTATTTTATAAGGATATTCTTAGGTGAAAATGATTTTTGTTTTGTTTTGTTTTATCGTGAGTATGTGGTAGTAAAGAATATAATGACTAATAACACAGTTTGGTGCTGCTGCCTTGTAGAGATTCAGGCCACAAACAGTTTTACCTACCACTGCTTTCACATCATCAGTGCAAATATTGACTGATGTAAATAAAAAAAGCTTTAGAATTATGATGAGAATAGTTTTGTCTTTGTGGATCTCTTTTCCTCCTAGGGTCTGTGGAAGATAGTTTGAGAACTATTGCTGTAGGCCATTTTCAAGAAGTCTACGTTGTTACCATGTCAGCACTCCTAGAACATTATCATGGCCTAATAGAGGAACCTGTTAATTTTCAGACTGGTCACAAACAAGAAAAGCTTGTTCTCTTTTTTTTTTTTTTTTAATTTTTTTTTTCAACCTTTTTTATTTATTTTTGGGACAGAGAGAGACAGAGCATGAACGGGGGAGGGGCAGAGAGAGAGGGAGACACAGAATCGGAAACAGGCTCCAGGCTCCGAGCCATCAGCCCAGAGCCTGACGCGGGGCTCGAACTCACGGACCGCGAGATCGTGACCTGGCTGAAGTCGGACGCTTAACCGACTGCGCCACCCAGGCGCCCCGCTTGTTCTCTTTTAAGAAAGCATTTGCCCTAAGATTAGATTTAGCATTCAAAGGATCCCTTTTTCCATTACTATTTTTAAAACTTAGATTTACACAACAATTTTGTACGCACATACCTGTTGGGTAAAGTGAAGCATACCGTGATGAATTGTGATTCTAGCCAACTAGGTAGGCCTTATCAAAAGCATGTTTACTTCCTAAACTTACAAAAGCTTAAGTATCTACCAAATATCCCCAAACTGGATTGTAGTTTGGTTAATTCTGCATGTCCAAATCACCATGGTTTTTCACAACATTTTTCCTGACCCATTGGTTTTGACTTTGGGCAGGTTTTATCTGGCTCTGCAATACATCATAATGTAATACTGATATATTTCGGGGGCCGTGTATCTGTGGATTCATATCTTGATGGGTATTCTTACCCCTCTGAGCTTCAGTTTTCCTGTCAATAAAGTCAAGCTGATGAGAAGGCTTACTTTGTTTTGTTTGCTAGCCCAATGGTGAATTGAACAAGACTACGCATGAACGCACTTAACACCAAGTCTGGCATATAAAAAGTGCTCCTCGTGGTAGCTAATGCTGTCATTAGCTGCAAATGGGCAGATTTCAGCTGGCGGAAGAGGGAGGAAGGAATCTGATGAAGCTCTCTAGCAAATAATAATCTTTGTAATTAGCTCACTGTTTATTTAAAAGAAAAGCTGACGTGCTGCATTTTGTATTTACCTGAAAGTAAACTGGCAATGTGTGAGTCTTCTGCCCCAGATATATATTAAATTTTTTGATGTTTATTTATTTTCAAGAGACAGAGAGAGACAGAGCGTGAGCAGGGGTCGGGGGGTGGGGGAGGGCGGGCAGAGAGAGAGGGAGACACAGAATCTGAAGCAGGCTCCAGGCTCTGAGCTGTCAGCACAGAGCCCAATGTGGGGCTGGAACTCACGAACTGTGAGATCATGATCTGAGCCGAAATCCGACACTCAACAGAGCCACCCAGGCGTCCCCAGTCTTTTGCCCCTGAAGGGTTCATCTTTATGTTAAAGTCACATTTCCCCCAGTGCTTTTAAAATATGGTTTAGGAAAAAAAAAAATTTCTACTCAGTGTTCAAGGAACATAATAATTAGACAAAAGTTCAGCACATCAACATAATTAGAAAGGATTGTAAAGCTGTTCATTTGCTTTTGCTCTCCCTAGAGCAAATATTCAACATTTCCCCTGCTTATACTGTTCATTTGCTTAGTACACTTTCTCATAGAATTAATAACGCCGAGATGAAATTTAGCCTAGCTTGTCTAAATAAGCCCAAACTGCAAAACGGGCGACGAGTGAACTAGTAAGGTTTTGTTGGAAGTATGCTATCCACGTGTCTGGTCTGTTTCATTCTGGTGTGGTATTCACCTGGACTCCTGGTGATTTGTTTGTTTCCCTTGCTACGTAAAATAAGCCAAGCCAAAAATGATATGAAATAAAATAAAGCAAGCATTCAGCGGGCAAAATAAACACGTGGTCCATGTAATCTCTTTGTCTGTTCTGTCTTCGTTCCTTCTTTGCGCCCATCCTTGAGTCGGGTTCATTTCTCCCCTCTCCCTATTTCACAGAATTCATCCCCAGCTGCGATTTTAACCTACAGGAACTTGGCACAGCATGGTTTGCTTGTTCTTCCTTAGGGCATTCATTTAGTAACCACATTCCAGTGCCTTCTGCACACCGGAATTCAGAGATCTCAAGATGATTGAGACTGGATCCAGGCGAAGGGGAGTTCATTGTATT